TATGCCACCCAGTCCAGGCTGCGAACTATGTGCTCCAGACTTATTATGCATTAATTTTATATATCTTATATTTTTTTGTAATCACAATTGTGTATATATAATGATTACCCTATTGTATTTTATATATTTGTTATATATATTTTTTTTATAATTCTTGCCTGTGATAGGATCACTTCCTCCTACTTTACCCATCTATATCAGTATAGTATATTTATTGTATTTATACTTATTTCTCCCTCCCATTTTTGGCTCTGTATATGTTATCTCATGCAAGCACTTTTTGGAACATAAAAACGAACTGTTATCAAGAAATTACCCATTACAGAATAGAGAGACATTCTCTTTCATACGAAAACCGGAATTACAATACATGCGTTCCACCGTTGGAACGCAAATGCCGAAACCGGAAGTTAGTGAATTAATGCGTTCCACTGTTGGAACGCGGAAGTAAAATGCCGCGATTTGACAATTAAGGAGCAAAAAAACGGCGCGAACTTCAACTATAAACAAAGGACAGTTACAGCAAGCACCTACAGCAACTGAGGAAGCCTCTACAAGAGGCGAAACGCGTTTTGCTACCAGAGACTATCTCTTCAAGATTACCTTCAACTGTAAGGTTTCTGTTTTTTATATTTTTGTGCACTTTACTAATAAAGCACTTATTTATCATTTATACTTACCTGTGAGAGGACATCTCATTATCCATCACCTCCTGGCAGTATAAAGAAGGGAGTGGGAACCCAAATCCCACAATGCTGGATGATTGAGCTTTATCCCATAAGCTCTAGCTTTGTGAGTTTATTTTCACATATTTTCTCCATACTTATAAGGGATCCAGACAATATTGCACTATTATGTGTTTTGTTTTACCTTATCTCTAGGTCATTGCTCCATTTATTGTAAACAAGAAGACACTCCACCTTATATTGTATGTATATTCTGTTTGTTGTGAGGGCGAGGGGTACTCACTAAGGTGTTTGAGAATCTCTTGGTTTACTCTGACATTAGTGTGCTTCACTGACAATACTGTATTTGTTTTTATTTTTGTATTATATTGTATATTTTATATACAATTCCCTTCTCAGTATTTTTAGTTATTATCCCACTATGTCTTTTTTGGTTAATATCGTACAAATAATATTGATGCCTGTTTTGAAACAACTACAGGACAAAACTCTGTTCCACAATATAGTGATAAAAATAAATCTAGATATAACCTAGAGAAAAGCCTTATAAAAGAGATGAAGGTAAAATGGGAAATTGCAACCCTTAAAAAATATGTTCGTGACCAGATTACTCCCAGAGGACTAAGGTTCTATAAGGACCCAAGTTTTGACAGGGAAGATCCCCATTTTATGGCTGGTTGGGACAAACTTCTAGACGGTTTCTCATTCAGCACAATGGGTTACATTGTGGCAAGAAGAGAAGAAACCCTCCCTAAACTTGACGAAGAAATAAACAAGTGGAAAGAATCTCTGGCAGAATCTACAAGTCCAGAAATTTACAATACCATCTTAAAAGAAATCCAATCCAAAGTAGATAAAATTGAATTGGATACTATAGAAATTAAAAAGAAAAAATATCTAAGAGATATAACTGATTACGAGACCGGCAATGTAAGGGATAACAAAAAGAATAATACACGCCAGCATACCCAGCTTCAAAAACAACAATATGTTAGGAGCACCTACTCTCAACGCCCATTCATCACCCAACATCAATTAGCGAGAGGTGATATGAACACAAAATGGGAAAAAAGCAAGAAATCACCATATACAAATAACGAGAAATACCCAAATAGAGAACAAAATAGATGGCAGCCACACAAAAGAACTCATTATAACAAGGTTACCGAACCTCAAATAGGACACAATTGCACACCGATACATAGGAGACACCCACGCACCAATTACGAACTTACTAACACTATCACCAACAATAAGGATTTCAGAAAATATAGCGATGTAGTAAAAGAAGGAATCCAAAAGAAAGAACTAAAACATCCCAATAAAGAGTCCCCTTATCAATCCCATGATAAATTAAGTCCACCATATAGAGAACAAAGAAAAAAGAATATTGATATACCATCCCCTCCAGACACCCCACCATCACCTTCTTTTTTTCGGAGGGATTTAATACAAAACAGAAGAAAAAGGACAGACAACAATCAATCGTGGGAAACACAGGGGAAAAGACAACGATCATTGGAAGAAGAAGGAGACAGGGAAGAAAGAGGAAAACAACACAGAGAGAAGAGGGGCAAGACGTCAATTTAGAGGGAATTTTTAATCTAACAGATAAAACTCTTACTTTAGAACAGAATTTTTTTTTCAATAAAGGTCTTAAATTTGCCCCTACAGCTGATTTTAACCCTTTTGATTTTTTTGTTGATATGAATTTATTTAAAAGAAAATTATGTTTAAATTTTTTTTTTCATAATAAAGAAAATAACCTGCCCGAAGAACAAAATGATGGATATGTCCATACATCCCTTAAAGCTAAATCCCATTTCTTCCCAAGACACCTGATCTCAAATGCAATTCAGACCTTTGAAACAATGGTGATGAAGGATGTAGAGGTTTTTAAAAAAATTAACAAATATAAACAAAATTTATCAATAAAGGGAAAAAAGGCATTGAAGGAACTTAGAAATGACGACCAATTAGTGATTAAACCTGCCGATAAGGGAGGAGGAACGGTAATCTTAGATAAAGCTCTATACATTAAAGAAGCAGATAGAATACTCTCAGACTCCTCAACTTATCAGAAATTAACACACAACCCTACGAATGAAACTATAAAAAATTTTAAGCAGTATGTGGAGAAAGGAAAAAACGTAGGAATCCTTACAGATAAAGAGGCAGATTATTTGTGGATAGACAACCCCAAAATACCGGTTTTTTATCTATTATCTAAAATCCATAAAGATATAACAAATCCTCCAGGTAGACCAATTATATCTGGTATAGATTCCATCTCCACTAGAATTTCCGAGTACATTGATACCATCTTGCAGCCAATTGTTATCAAAAACCCTACATACCTCAAAGATACGATTCATGTTCTACAAATTTTAGAAGAAACAAAATGGACGAAAGGGAACATACTGGTTACTTGTGATGTAACTGCGCTATATAGCATTATACCTCACGATAAAGGAATAGCAGCAGTAAAATATTTTTTAGAAAAAGCTGATTTTAAAGAGGAACAAACCCAGTATATTTTAGAAGGAATTTTATTGATTTTAACTCACAACTATTTTTGGTTTGAAAACTCTTTTTACCTCCAAATCTGTGGAACGGCAATGGGCACCAAATTCGCCCCAAGTTATGCTAATCTTTTTATGGCATTTTGGGAGGAAGGGTTTGTACTCCAAGGACACCCATGGGGGGCGAGTTTGGAGTCCTATTGCCGTTTCATAGATGACATTTTTTTCATATGGACCGGTACTACAGAGGCTCTACAAGAATTTATTTCATATCTTAACAACAATGATTATGGGATCAACTTAACCAGTACTCACAGTGAACATAACATAAATTTTTTAGATCTTGACATTAGGATCCAAGATGCTATGATAGTTACCAAAAATCACTTTAAACCAGTGGATGCCAACAGTTATATTAACATCAATAGTTGTCACCACAAACCCTGGTTACACAATGCACCTAGGAGCCAATTTTTAAGGATCCGCCGTAACTGTAAATTAGATAGTGATTATTTAGAACAAGCCCATTATATTAAACAACAATTTATGGAAAAGGGATATGATGAAATATCTCTGAATCAAGACTTACAAGATGTAGAAAAACTAAAAAGGAGCCAACTGATCCAATACAAACCAAAAAAAGTACGAACTGATTTTAATGAAGTTTCTTTTATTTGTAATTTTAATGGATATAATAAGCGTATACAAAAGATTTTAAATAAACATTGGCACTTACTAAAAGTTGATCCCATTTTACATAGTATTCTACCTTCGAAACCCAGAATTATATACAGAGGAGCAAACAATTTTAAAAATATACTAGTTAAAAGCCATTTAAACCCTACCAAACCTAAACATTTTATTCAGGATCTTAAAGGATTCTATGGCTGTGGTATGTGTCTCCCATGCAGAGTGACAAAACAAACAAAAAGACATTTTGAAGATTTAGAAAGTATTATTCACAAACCATATACTATTAAAGATCATTTGACGTGTCATTCTAAGGGTATTGTATATATCTTAAAATGCCCCTGCAACCTGCTTTATGTGGGGAGAACTATCAGACCTCTAAAAGTGAGAATCGCTGAGCATATCCGCAATATCAAAAATGGTTTAGAAACCCACAGTGTATCACAACATTTTAAAGATGCCCATAACCAAAACCCAGAGTATTTATTTTTCTGTGCAATTAAAGAAGTAAAACGGGATTGGAGAGGGGGTAATTACATTAAAACATTAGGGAAAGAAGAAATGAAATTTATATACACCTTTAAAACCCTTATTCCTTATGGCCTGAATTTAGATTTTGAGGTTTGCCATTTTTAATATGTTTCTTATATATAGGATTTTCTTAATTAATTTTAGGGGCATTTTTTTTATTATTTTATTATTTCTATTAATTTTTATTCATATTGATCTTATATATCTTACACTTTTTTGTAATCATCATTGTGTAAATATAATGATTACCCTATTGTATTTTACATATTTTCTATGTGTATATGTTTTATATTTCTTGCCTGTGATAGGATCACTTCCTCTTATTTTATCCATCAATATCAGTATAGTACATTTGTTGTGTTTATACTTATCCCTCCTTCCTATTTTAACCTTGCATATGTTATCTCATGCAAACACTATTTGGAACACAAAAACGAACTTTTATGAAGAAATTACCCATTACAGAAACATTCTCTTTCATATGAAAACCGGAATCACAACACATGCGTTCCACCGTTGGAACGCAAATGCCGAAACCGGAAGTTAGTGAATCAATGCGTTCCACTGTTGGAACGCGGAAGTAAAATGCCGCGATCTGACAATTAAGGGAAAAAAACGGCGCGAACTTCAACTATAAATAAAGGACAGCTATAGCAAGCACTTACAGCAACTGAGGAAGCCTCTATAAGAGGTGAAACGCGTTTTGCTACCAGAGATTATCTCTTCAAGATTACCTTCAATTGTAAGGTTTCTGCTTTTTTATATTTTTGTGCACTTTACTAATAAAGCACTTATTTATTATTTATACTTACCTGTGAGAGGACATCTTACTATCCATCACCTCCTGGCAGTATAAAGAAGGGAGTGGGAACCCAAATCCCACAATGCTGGATGATTGAGCTTTATCCCATAAGCTCTAGCTTTGTGAGTTTATTTTCACATATTTTCTCCATACTTATAAGGGATCCAGACAATATTGCACTATTATGTGTTTTGTTTTACCTTATCTCTAGGTCATTGCTCCATTTATTGTAAACAAGAAGACACTCCACCTTATATTGTATGTATATTTAGAACGCTAGTTTGAACGTTCAAGTAGAACGTTCACACTCGCAACATAGTTGTGAAACTGCAAGGGAAGCAATTAATGAATGCTCTCCTGGGTGGCCGCCATTTCGTATAGACGAATGCCAGCCAGGGGGAGCGTTCGTGGATTGCTTCCCTACTAGTTTGTCTCCCGAATGAGGACCACCCCGGTGCCCCATTGGAATGTTCCCACCAATTAATCAGAACATTCGCACTTGCAACATAAGTGTGAAACCGCAAGGGAAGTAATTAATGAGTGCTCCCCTGCCATTTTGTATAGACAAACGCCAACCAGGGGCAGCATCCATACCCCGAAAGGAGACGCTTTCCTTGCAGGTTTCAGCACAGGAACAGAGATTGGTAGAACTGTGAGGTCGCCTGAGGTTGGTGAGGACACTTTTGGGGCAGTGGCTAGTTTGGCGGGCTTTTCCATGCCTGGGACGAATAGACTGTTCAAGGTCATCATTTGCATGAGATCCACTTTCAGGTCATACAAGACGCCATTTTGGTTTCACCTTTGCTCCATGAGGTCTCCTACTCCAAGCTGTGTCCAGGAATCCTGCAGCAGGGATTTCCGTTAATCCAGTGTCTTTCTCTCCGGTCAGCATCGCATTTGGTGTCTCAGGGACTCTCAAACCGTAAGTTGACCCACCTGTCGCGCCAGGATTCGTTCCCATGGCGTTCAACACAGCACGGGTCCTCACTTTAACAGTTTCCTTTCGTTTTGCACGGTTATTTCGTTACCTTATACTCACCTAGCTGTTTATGTAAAATCTGTTGGTTAAAATCTGTTTTGGTTAAAATCTGTTGGGTTAAAACTACAAACGAAATACAATTTTTCGCCTACACTCTGACCCCTATCGATCATTCGTGTACTACAAGCTTCTCAGATATTATTGCATTTCATGTACAAACCAACGAACCACTGCATTTTCATCTAGACACTGACCCCTACCGGTCATTCGGTATACTACAGGCATCTCAGACATTATTGCATTTCATGTACAAACCAACGAACCACTGCATTTGTGCCTACACACTGACCCCTATCGGTCATTCGGTGTATTACAGCCTTCTTAGACGTTTTTGCATTTCATGTACAAACCAATAAACCACTGCATTTTCACCTACACACTGACCCCTACCGGTCATTCAGTGTACTACAGGCTTCTCAGATATTATTGCATTTCATGTACAAACCAACGAACCACTGTATTTTCACCTAGACACTGACCCCTACCGGTCATTCGGTGTACTACAGGCATCTCAGACATTATTGCATTTCATGTACAAACCAATGAACCACTGCATTTGCGCCTACACACTGACCCCTATCGGTCATTCTGTGTACTACAGGCTTCTTAGACATTTTTGCATTTCATGTACAAACCAATAAACCACTGCATTTTAACCTACACACTGACCCCTACCGGTCATTCAGTGTACTACAGGCTTCTCAGATATTATTTCATTTCATGTACAAACCAACGAACCACTGCATTTGCGCCTACATGCTGACCCTTACCGGTCAATCGGTATACTACAGGCTTCTCAGACTTTATTTCACTTCATAAGCAAACAAACTACAGCATTTTTGCTTTTATACTGACTCCTATCTGTCAAACGGTATACTACAGGCTTTTCAGACATATGGTTATTCCCCTCATAACATTCCCACTATAATTATAATTACACAATAACACTTCCTTACAAATCATGCTTGCTATGATATAATCATTCCTGCATACCTGCCTTCATAGGCATTTAGTTACATTTACTGACAATACGCATACATTTACCCAAGAATGCACATACTATTTAAAGCACTATGCAGGATTCCAGAGTCTAATACGGAATATTTGCACGCTTAAAATATAAGTCCTTCCAATTATGTATTTTCACATATTAGGTTATTCAGCTGCCAGTCATGGTTCCCTGCACTCATGTTTCGGGGTACAGTTGTATTCCATATCACACATGATATAACACTCCCGACAAGTTAATTTCCTTCAAACAGGGGCATTACAAGCATACAATAAACATTGGGACGGTGCACTTTTCTCTTTTAAACTTGCATAACACACATATGGGCACTCGTGAGCTAGCCGCCTTACATGGTGTATAGAGAGGGCCTCACCTGTCACTCCCTTCCCCTTTTTTCTGGTTTCAGTCACCGAGAGGCCAACATCCTGCCACTACGTTTGGTGGCCACAAAAATCCCCTTGCACCATTGCATAGATAGAGCCTCTCAAGCCACTTGGCAACTAGCAGGGCCTCACCTGTCACCAAACAAAGGATTAATTGTTTCGTCATGCGGCTTTAGCTAGCAAGCCAGTACTAGCACACTGTGGGTTCATATAATAATGGCTATCTTCATGTTTTTTAGTATGTATCAAGCATGTGGTAAGGATTTCTCTCTACCTAACACTCCAGCTAGAGTCAACACACTTTCACTTGGAGATGTTGCTAGTCCCACAGGACAATTTTGTCCCAACACAGCGGACGATCACGTTTCAGGCCCCAGGCTCTACCACCTCTGGTAGTACGTAGAGAACTACCAGAGAAAAATTGGGTCGTCTCATTCTCTTTGGCAAATCCCAGATTTGCAACAATTTCCATGTTGGCACATGTAGTTTCAGTGCATGCAGACTGTTGCAGATATGTTCCCAATATGTCAGGGCACATGCAAAACCATGTGTCCCAATAAATGTACCCTGAACCTTACTTCTCGTCTGTAAACATTATGCATTTCCAGTACTTTCTAACTTATCACCCTTCCAGACATTTATTTTATTTCCTAATCTCCGATTGTAAAGGCCTTCTGTTCAGGTATTGCCATATACTTTTGGGGGAATCTAGAATGCCCTAACTTGCAGTCATCACAGCAGCATCCAACAGCTGGCATTACACTCATGGCCCAAGGAATGGCAGAAAGATTTCTACCTGGGCCTCTCCGATCCACACCATTTACAGTGTGGCGCAATCCCATTGGGATTGTCACAGGGAATCTTCCCTCACACTGTAACTGATCATAGACTTATCTGCACCTCACGCCTCAGCTGCCCCATAGTCTCAACTCCCTCATATCCTCCGAGGAGTTTTCATTACAGTATGCCACCATTGTTCATACCATTACAACTGTCACTCAAGCAGGGAGGGGAAGCCTGGTTAAGTAAAACTGATATCACAAACGCATTTCAGACTGCCACCATCCACCCTGCACTGGCACTTACAGGGCATTTATGGGCAGCAGTTATATATTTCTTCTCCCGCTTAACTTTCGGGTCAAGAGCAGCCCACAATCTTCAATATATTCGTTGAAATCTTTACTGGTTGTGGTTAAACATATCCAGATGCCCCACAGTCATACACTCCCGAGATGATTTCTTGTTGGTCAAAGGGAATGCCTTTCCCTCTAGAAGCTTCATAGGAAGCCATTAGTATGTCTGAACACTTGGGTGTCCCAGTATTCCCTAAGGTCACAGAAGACCCAGACACTATCGTTACATTCCTGGGCATACAACTTGACTCGGCATCCATGCCAACAAGTTACCACGCGAGAAATAGGAACAGTCGCAACAACACCAGTACCT